ATATGCCAAAGTTAATTATAAATTAATTATATATTTTTGTACCTCTATTAACACAGATTTGACTGAGAGTTGACTGTACTTTGAATATTTGTACGTCTTTTAAATGCTGGCCTCAAAGCAAAATCACAAAATTTTTGAAATCTCTGCTTCTACGTAACTCCAACTTGAGGAATGATAATTAAATGCATGCCATTTAAAGGTTTAGGTCAGGTTCCTGCATTAGATAGCTTACTATAAAGATAACTGTTAAAAAGTGAAGACAGGGGGCCCTCCCTGGTGGCTCAGCGGGTTAAAGCACAGCACTAAGGGGCTAAAGCCACTTCCCCATGAGTTCGATCCCCACCTGTCCCAGAAGTGACCCACAGGCGTGGCAGACCTCTCCTGACCCGCCCGCTGCTCCCCTTAGCAGTGTAGTTTGTCAGTCAGCCTGCTCTGCTCCCCACTCTGTCTCTGCTGAATCCTCTCACCACCCCTGCACCTCTGGCCTATACCCCAGTTCTGTATGCATAAATTTTTTTAAAAAGTGAAGGTAAATACATTGAAATATTGCTTAAACAAGCATTCTGATTTACAAATAACTTTGTAAATGAAACACAAATCTATAAGTGAGGGAAACAGAAGTAATACAGAGATCATCAGAAGTTAGCAGATTATTGTATATTCTGAATCCATCTCAGAATTATTTCTATGCTGGAAATAATCATTCACACAAAGCCTACATTGGTGTCCTATTTATTGGTGGCATTCTTTGATGGATAGAATTTTTTAGAGCTGGAAAAGGCTGGGCTTTGCATCTTCTCTCTAGATTTGACCAACAGTTAAAAAGTTTCTCTCCATACACAAATAATTCATTCCAGGCCCTCACAACAAATAAAGTAAAAATGTAAAGATGGGATAACTATGTATTGACTAATAGGCAAATTAAAAGGCATGCAGAGACATTGTGCAAGGGGGAATTTGTCCAGGAGGAGTTCGCTGCTACTGGCCAAGTACTGAACTACTGTCACTCCCACTATAGGTCTAAAGCCTCAGGCAGTTAGTTCATTCTAATCATGATCATAACTTCATCCTGGAACCTAAGGAACTCCAGGACAACAGGATGAGCAGCCGAGTGTGATAGTTAAAAGACTGGCAACTTTTCTTGCGCTACACTAAGATTCTCTTGCACTTTTGCTCTGGGAAGAAAGAGAAGATTGATTTGTGCATGGAAAGAAGATTGATTTGCGTTCTCTCCTAAGCAACATTTACAAATAAGAAACTAGAATTAAGAAAGAAAACAGCACTGTAATAATTTTTAGAAGTGGTAACAACAATATTACTAGAACTAACAGAAACAACCATTGATGAGGGATTGATAAATAAACCACAGAATTGGACAATTAGACCATGCAGCAGTTCTAGAACATTTTCCACTTATGACGATGATATAGACCAGCAGGAAAGGAAAATATTGAAATGAAAAAGTATAAGTAATAAGTTATAATCACTATTATTTAGTCCTCTTTATCAATCACAGCCACATAATTAGGAGATCTAAAAAAGTTTCCTTGATGTGGATTTTCTTATTGGGTCTCCCATTTTCCAAATTTTTAAAGTTGAGAAACAGCTGCTATAACATTGTATTCATTTTAAGTATAGAATATGATATATACACACACATATATATATATTCACATATATAAAAGTGATTACCATAATAACATCCATCATTACATATAATTACAATTTTTTTTTAAATCATGGATTTTTCCTGACTAGTTAGGGAAATGTTCATCACAGTACCAGTGGAAGTTATCCTAAATATATTAATTAAGTGGAAAACAAAGTGGAGGTAAGAGATATATAAGGAAATCATAGGAGAAGAGACAAAGATTTTGGCAAACAGGGGAAAGCTAAGAAGTAGACTCTTTTAAGATAATGGCAAACTTGCAAGGGAATTTGAAATGATATGATAATGGAAAGGAGCACTTCCTGGGCAGACAGAAAGGAAAGCAATATAATTTGGTAGGACTGAGATGGAGAGTTTTGAAATGGAAAAGAGAGGGTTTGAGAAATGGAGGGAAAACAGCTAAGGCAGCATTTCCTCTTCTATTTTTTTAATTTCTTCTAGTATTACAATTACAATAAGAGTATTACAATTTAAAACTCTGAACAAACCTTATAAAATGGATATTACTGTCAGTAAAGAGAAGCCTAAGCAGAAAGAGGGAGGAATAAAAATCAGAACAAAAATTTATACAGGCCTGGCATTCAGTGCCCTGTAGTGCACAGAGGCCATCAGATGGAGTGGAGACAAGCAAACATTTTGGAGACAACTCTATGACCTATTTTCTTATTGTTATTAAGCAAATTGAAAGCACACTGGCAAAGGATGCCTCTCTTTTGTGTAAGGAAAATTAAAATTGTGATACAAATGAAAACCCAACTCATTTGATCCTTATGAAATTAGACATATCCTGAATTAATTCAGCAAAATGTAAAGATAACTCAGATTTCCCGAAACTCTCTGGGAATTCATGAAGCCACAAGGTTTTTATCGTTTTCCTAAATCATCGTTCCCATACTTTTACAATTCCCAGTTTTATAAAGATCTGATGCCATCTTTGGAGACAGTCAAACTTAACAGGCAGCTAGAATACTTCATTGGTAGGAAGGTGTATTATTTCTCAAAACCAAAAGAGCAGAGAGCCTTCAGATTTGTGCCACCAGGGTACAGCTATCCACCAATAACGCTAAAGTGTAGCAAAGCACTACTGTAGGAGCTTGAAAGCGAATTTCAGGTAAATGAAGGTGTGGTTGCCCACAGTTGAGTAAATCTGAGCTGCAGTGTAAATTGAAGGAACAAGCAGCATGGATTCTAGAAGTGTAAGCCTGGTGTCTCCTACCATGCTAGAATCCTTTGGGAGAATTAATCAAATAGTGGATAGAAGAGCTAATGCATACCACTCTAAAGTTTCTTTATGTTTTTTATAAGTAAAGTCTCCCCTAAGAAATGTTCTCTATTAAGAAAATTCAGCTAACTTATGGAATACAGATTTAATGGACAACAAACCAATACCCATGCTGAAAGTCTCCAGCACTGCACAAGTTCAATAACCTAGGAAAATCTTATTTGGACAGAAAAGGTGAAGAGTGAAAATTGCCAGCGATGCAACCTATCTACTGTAAATCCTAGAAGATCTTGCTAAATAATAGATCCAATGACATTTCCGCTTCACAAAGAAAAAAATCTTAAAAGTATACTGCTAGGCTTGAAGTTAATAGTTAAGGGGGAAAAAATAGCAAGACTTACCAGAGTGAAAAGTAGGAAATATGATAAAGATTGACAAAATAAGCAATGGCAAAGAGAATGTCAGCAAGTGCTTGTCATATGTCTTTCTCTTTGTGAATACACAGAAGCTTTACGTTGAGCTTTATGATAGCAGAAGACCACAAAAGTCAGAGAGAGAACACCGTTTTACGCCACATATAACTCGCCTATTGAACTTGCTGCCACAGGACATTGATAAACTTAGTAGAGTTCCCCAAAACGTAGATATCAAACTGTGGCTCTGTAGTATATTTGGAGTAGAAAATTAAAATGGAGCACGTACCTCATGCTTCGGGGTATTAGCCAGGCAAGGCCAGGAAGGAAGTTTCCTTTCCATTTGTATTAAAAATGCCTTATGATTTCAATTTTTAAATTCCATCCTAGAGTTCAAGTTAAGTGAATAGACTCTTATCCAAAAATTCTTATGTCATTTTTTCAGATACATCATTCTTGCCTGTTCATTTTCCTAAATAGCAGAGCCTTCGATTTCACCCAATTCTTCTTCTAGTTCACTTTACCCCAACTTCCAGATAATGCCTAAGAACTAATAATCAAGAATCACATATGTAAAAAGAGTCAGAATCACATAAGTAAAGACTCACATTTGGAAAAGAGTTCTATAATTTGTCCAAATTTTCTTAGCTTTTTCTCGAGATGCAGAAATTTAAATTCATATATTTTGGTTCTGTTTATACCACAAAATAAAAAACTAAAGTTGGATGTGAGATAAACCATATTTAATAGCATTTTAACCCATATCAGAGTTATATCCAAAAGTGCCCTCCTTTGAAATGAATTTTAATCAACAAGCAACATAAATTTATGGAAGAAGGCACTAGAATGCCACATTAAAAAGATACAGCCCTTCAAGCTCTATCTTCACAGGGGGAATGAGCAATTCATCTGTAAAATGTCATGACCCCAGTCAGTTCATAAATTCAGCATGTAAAGAGTAGGCTCTGAGGGACTTACAGGTAAAAGTCACAACTTTTAAGTCTAAGAAAGTGTATCTGAAAAAGTGTGTGGATCAATTTAAAAAAAAAAGATGTCACATTAAAAATTGCTGAAAATAATAAAATTATGTGTAGACAAGACCAAAATGATCAGAAGGCAAGTTCACACTTTTGTGTCCATTTTGTAATCCAGTCCTCTCCATTTTGGGATTAGCAATAGGGTGCCACACGTGGTATAAAGCCAGCCATAGCACACAAGCTCGATTGAATTTTCAAAGTGACAGTGTGATCAAATATGCTCCAAAGGCATTCTAGAATTTCAGGTGCTGCTGACCATTAAAATCCAACCTCCTAGATAGTCTATTCAGATTTAAACAGGATTTAAAATACAATCCTCAGGTCAATTAAAAACAAGCCCACATATATATATCTATCAAAAAATAGTATCCAGAGTATATTACCTACAAAGAAATCTTTACATATGTGTATACTTATATAGAGAGAGCAACATAATACCAGAATTTAAAAATCAATGATTTTCTAAAATATGAGGATTTATGCTTCTTTTTTGAATATAATAATTGGTTTTAGACTGCTAATAAGGCAAATTCCTCAAAGGATGGAACAAGCAGAAAACTAACAGCAAAAGCCCTTGTTTGGTACTTGGTTTGGGAGACAAAAGCAGAAAGGTATATGTCAAACAGATGGAAAGTGAAGTATTACAAAGTTATCCTTACCTGCATTAATTTTCCTTCTGCTGGAGTTATTTCAGCAACACCAGCAAACACACCTTCCAAAGTGAGATTCAGTTTTCCTGTGGGGTCCATCTTCAAGGGAATCACTCTGATAATCGCTTTCTGTTCTGCTGATCTTTCAGACTCCACCGCTGCTGCCAGTACCAGTCCCGTGTGTCCAAAGCCTGCCTGCAGGGTAGCCATCAGCAGCCAGGGCCAGAGGGCAGCCAGCTGCAGCTGGTGGCCACCACTCATGCTACCAGCTGCAGCAACGCACTTCGGCCATACATTACTGCGTCCACTACTGGCTAATACCAAACGCAGGTTTCTCAGATCCAGACAAGTGGAGGCAAAGAAAATTTATGCTTCAGTTTCGGAATGCCAATCGTAGCCGTGGCCCTTCCTGTCTCTAAAGTATATTCCCTGAAACAGGTGGCATTCCTGCTCTGGCAAGGGAAGAGGGTATTTTCAGCCCACTTCAGCTGCAGGTATGTCATTTTCTTCCATCTTCACTATGATTAGTAAAGATACCACCACTTCTCTTGGGAATTTCCAACTGTGCTGGAGGTTGAATGTCACATCCTGAATTTGAATTATGTCAGATCACTTGGTGCTGGTCTTCCATATGCATCAAGTTGCCGAGCCACTAAACCCAACGTTAATGAACAAAACAAGGCAAAGTAAATGACTAAGGCCATGTATCAATGTGAGAGTGAGAAACTCCAATTCAGGAACATAAAAGAGGGGTTCCTTTCTAAATCACAAAATCTGTCAATGATAAAAAAAACAAACAAACTACAAATCACAGAATTTTTTTAATGGAGGAGAAGGGGGAATGATATTTCATGCCACACCTTGAAAGATGTGCAAAGATGCTATGACATGTATTTATAAAAGTTTCCACATTCAACTGTATTTTAGTATAACCAAAGTTCTAGGTTTATTTATAATTAATTTATAATACTTATTATGAACGTAAATATACTTTTAAAAATGTTCTACCAAAATCTGTCAGTACATTAGGTGCCAATTTATATATTCACATATTACAGGATAATGCTGAGCACCACAAACCTGTCCTAACTTTCATATTTAGAAGGATACTTGAAAAGGTTAGCTTTCCAGTTATTTTTCCCAGTTAAAATTGCTATTTCTATCTCTGTTTTCCTTTCTGTCTCAGGAATTTCAACTTTTAGTTTCCCATTAACAAATGCCAAGCACTTTCATTTCCCATGAGATGCTTTGGAAACTATTATTCAGGTCCTACAATTTGTAATTTTCTAGGTTCATAAGTAAAACAAAGGACTATTCCTAACACATTTCTAAATTCCTTGAGTGTATGGGGAATAAGAGAGAGGGGGAGTAAAGAGGTGATTAGTCTACAGGCTCCTGGAAAAGTAAAAATAAGTCTGAGTAGATCTGTGCTAATTCTAGGCACACTTGAGAATTTGGGCCTTTGTACATACAAAATCTTATTCTAAGATTTTTTTAAATGCACAACCTTAAATAAATATAAATGCACTTCAACCATAAGCCTGCTGTGTTTAGAGGACAAGTTAAAAAAATCTTACAAAGTCTCCAGAGTAAATGCTGAGAAGTCAAATAATTGACCATGAACCTGTTACATAGATTCTTTTCTTTTGCTGAGGCAGAGGGAGAAAAAAAAAGAATTTCAAAAGAAATCTGCAAACCTGTTGTGCTGTCGGGCCCACTGGAATCCACGGGGATGAAACAAATTCAATTATGCTCTTATAAATCCTGCTCAAAAAGATTTCAACTGCTTAACCAAGTACAGCTCATTCTTCCACCTTCTTACTCTGCAACCAAACCAAGCGCCCCACACTGCAGGTAGGTAGGTGCCGAGAAATTCCGCAGCCTGAAAAAATAATCCATGCAGGTCAAAGGCAGAAACTTAAGTCCAGGGTGAGAGCTAATGTCCCCAAGAATTCTAAAAACATTTATAGAGGATCCAAAATCATTTCTGAAATGTCCTTTCTAACAAAAGTTCTTTTTCTCCCCGAACAACATATAAAATGATCAAATCTTGCAAGAGGAAAGAAGCAAAGTAGCAAGTACATCAGCAACAATTCACTACCAGGAACACAGAAAATCCCAGAGGGAGAAGACAGTATCTCTGAATCATGGATGGACTTGGAAAGTTCGGAAGGATTCGAGGGCTTCCTTTCCAGAAAGACAATTCTAGATCAGCTCCCTAGAGGAGGAAGCCTGTGGTTTGTAATTGGTGTTCTAGCTCTGACTCCCTCCACGGGACTGCAATCACGCTCTCTACCTGCTGACACAAAGTGAGGGTGGAGCAGAGGCAGCCACCCCCAACCCCGCCCCTCCTCCTCCAGGCTGGCTTGGGTGCGCGCACACTTACTTAACCAGACTTGTTCTATTGCTCCCTCTTCTTGTTCAGCTCCTCTACTCCCTCTACCGAGTCACAACCAAAATGCATCCAAATGAACCCTCAATACATTCTGGGTATTAAGTAAGCAAGCCATCACATGTAAACCAGGGCCATTCAGGTATCTAATCTAAGGTATGGATTATGCATCCATGACCATATAGATGGTGATAGGAGGGAATAAAGAGAAAGAAAAAAAAGGAAACCCGGAAGATAAAAGAATGGGCACAAGGTTTTGCCAAATACAAATTCAAAGGGATTTCTAATCTTTCTGGGTTTTAATGTCTTACAAATGGCATAAATAAGAATAAAGTGATACTGTACAGTAGTACTTACTGCCTTATCACTACCCTGGCAAGGACCCTGTCCATTTTATACATGGCTTTTCTTCAGCTCTTACTAATTGAAATCAGTAGCTCTTTTCTGAAGTGGCCTGTATGAGCTTTTAGACTTAAGTTGACGTCAGAGGTCTGGAATCTGTTCTTTTCTTCTCACATCTTTAGAGGTGAAATAATATTATAAGTCAGATCCAAGCTTTCAATATAAAGTAGCAAGTAAGTCAATGTCATAATCTAGACAGAGAGGTAAAATATATGCCTAATGAAGAAGAGCATAGGTGGAAACAAAACTAATTTTTTGGCTAATTACCACATTTAAGGACTATGACTTCTAGTAACCTGGTTTTTAGAAATAATGCAAAAATTTCTAATGTTTCCAAAATTAAAATTTTTTATTCTATCAAGTTATATTTGACTGTGGACAGACATTTTCTGCTGTCAGTAATCTTTCGAAAGAACAATGTGAATAAAGTTCATACTATTAAATTTTAATGATTCAGAATAGTATAGCATAATGGTTTAGAACAGTATAGCATAATGTACAAAATACATTATTATATACATCATACATGCAAGAATACCTTTAAAATAAACAAAACATACCCTATAAATGGACTGTACCTCACTGACTCCTGCTTGAAACTTGCAAAGCAATTAAGAGATCCAAACCTAAGAGTTAACGCATATGTTTAGTTGGAATAAGGAAAATGTTATAAATGTGGCTGCTCTCTTGAGGAAAGTCTGAGATCCAGAAATGATAGTAACTGTATCGTGAACCTGAGGACTTTGAAATATTCAGAGTTAAACATTCAGAACTAGAAACATCCCTTTGTAGTCCCGTTCACCAGTACACTTTATTTAGGAGATCAGTATTGTAAGAGAAGTTGTTCTCTGGCTTCAAAGCTTTAATGTCATTCTTCAGGGGTGTGTGCCACAACACTTCTACAGATCTGTCATACCAGCACTATGGTGATGAAGGTACATTTCACCTACCACTTAACCTTAGATACAAGGCAGACCATCCTTCAGGAGTTACTTTTACATTTGGACTGACTGAAGTTACTGAAGACCATTCACACTTTTCTAAAAAACTAGGTTTCTATAAACATGTCCAAGAATTGTCCTCATCCTCAATACAAATTTTAAGATTTAACCCCTATTTAAGAGTAAGTTTTTAAAAAGTTAGGACACTTTCTTAGGTTCTTTAAAAAACAAAAAACAACCAATACATTCTCTTTTGAACTTTGCTACTGCAATTAATAGTCATAATGACCGAGTCTTTTATTGATCACTAAACAATAAAAGCAAGCAAAGACAGGACCCTTCCAGGTGATGCAGCGGGTTGAAGCACAGCACTGCAAGCTAGCCACAGCCACGTACTTCAGTGAAGTTCGAACCTCTGCCCTAATCCCTGCCCTGGAGGTGACCCACTCAGTGCAGCAGACCTCTCCTGTCTCACCTGCTGCTCCCCTCAACAGTGTACTTCGTTGATCTGCCTGTTATGCTCCCCACTTTGATTCTCTAGTGAATCTTCTCACCACCCCTGTACCTCTGGCCTGTACCCCAGTTCTGTATGCATAAATAAATAAATCTTAAAAAAAAAAAAAGCAAGACAACAAGTCTAGTTGAAACACTCACTTTATTGTTGACTGATTGAAATTGATCATGCTTAAGGTGCTGAAATACCGGAAGTATTAGTCAGGAACCTTGTTAGTATGTGTTAGACCCTACTGGCTAATTCAAACAAAGATTTTATTTTATTCTGCCATTTTGCCCAGTCAGTGATGACAGCTTTAGTTGATAGGTACCCGGTATGAGTATAGCAGGAGATCCAGCTCCTTAGTCCTGTTGTATTCATATATAAAAAAAGTTTGGAAAGCTGATAAAGATATTTCATTAATTAAACCTTAAAACCATTGAAACCACTCCATGCCAAGGTTCCTGCTTGACACATGTTACTTAAAAGATATTGTCTCTTTCAACATATACAAAGAAAGGTACATTAAGGGAAGAAGCATCGCCTACATAGTATATCAGCTTTTCAACATGACAGGTAAAGGCAAAGTCTCCTCTTCACATACTCTACCAAGATGCATAGTTGGCCAAAGAGGTAGGAGTGTTGATAATCTGTTCATCTTTTAAACTTTGCTAATCAAGATGAATAAATGCCCATCACATGGACATCAATTAGTCTAATCAGATAAACCAAAGAAATCACTTTTCTGAACCTACTTCTTTATCTAAACTGAGTCAGTGCAGACCAATACAGAGCTCATCCTTTAAAAAAAAAAAAACTTATTATCTTTGTAACACTTCTTGGGTTTGACATCATTGAGAAGGCACAGTGCAACTTAGGAAATAAGTTGTTATACCCACAATGGCTGGCATAGTATTTATATCATATAATTTTGTGCCGTTTCTTTTTAATGAGTTTCATATTCCTAAGCTTTCCTTTTGTTTCTGCGGTGTTTATTAGGAAAACTAAAGCAGAAGCCAATAAGAAAGTTTTAATTGATTTAAAAGACTTCAAATCAGACAGTTTCTAGCTGTCATTAGATGAGCAAGTGAGGGATCAACCACAGGAGCTGACATCTAGAGACCTTTCCCCAAGCCAGCCCACAATCCACTACTTGAATTTAGACTCCTACAAAGGGGATAAGATAAAAATGTTATGCTCTATCCCACTATCCAAAATTCTCTCAGAAACTTAACCCAAATATAAACTATTAAAAATATCTGTTATTGCTTCTGTTAAATGACTACTAATCAATTTCTCCCAAATTTGCACACAATAGCTTATATAGATGAGGATTTATACTTCCTGAATGTAAAAATCCAAAATAAGAAAACACTGTGTCAAATCTCTTATTAATGTTTTTGTTCACACATTGTACACTTTCCCTTCAACATAAAAATATACATGCATCCTTTATCCTTCTATCCTGCAACATTAATAAAAATATAAAGCTTTCAAACTTTTAAATCTACCAGCATTCATAAATACAATTATATTAAACAAGCTAAATACTTTTCTCTAGAAGACATTTAAGTGATACAGTAACAAAACCTTACCATTTAGGACAACGTATCATTAAAATTAAAGGTATGAAAACATAAGAATACTCCCACTAATATAAAAGAATCCGGGGCTATTAAGTGTGACGAATGGTCCAAGTCCGGATGCCTTGCTCTTGAAGCAGAATGCTGGGCTAGGAAGGAAGAGCATTTCCTGGCTAATCACTTAGAAAACTAGCTCTTCCCGGAATTTCTTCCCTGGAATTCCTGACCCATTTAGACCTGTGATCTTGGTCACCTCACATGCCTTTGTTTCTTACACAATTGTCTCTAAGAGGCTCACAATGTATTATGAAACAGATAGACTGAATTTCCTACTGGAGTTATGCTGACTACAGCTTGAGAATGGCAAGATGATAGATCAGTACACACAGAGAGATTATTCTCCAGTACCATAGAGGCAGCAAATTTTAGATGCTTCTTGACTGTAACAGAAGGCCAGAACTGTTCATTTGGAAGGGGTCTGGGAAGGAAAAAAAAAAAAGGCCGCAAGATGTTTAGTAGTTTGTCAAGGTAAATAATCTGAACTGAACAGCTGTAATAAATACCAAATTCCCAATTCTCAATTAACAAAATTCTCAATTAACAACAAAAAATACTTTTTTTTTCCTTAACAGAACTGAAAAAAAATCCCAATAGTGTGTCATGTGCAAGACTAGTCTGCCTCCAGCTACAGCTAGTGCACAATGTCACATGTGTCATTCATTCCTCACTCTTTTAATTCTTCCTCCTTTGGAAAGTGCTCCTGTTTGCAGGCCACATCCACCAGCAGATGGAGATCTAGAAAGAAAGATTTGTTTACTCACTCTTAGCCTCTCAGTCTATAGAGTTTGATATATACGTCAAAAGCTAAGAAGAACAAATTATATTTCACCTGTAGAATTGGCTCTAAAACTTTATCATCTCATTTTAGACAGTAAGCTGTCCAAAACTGCATTGCTTTTGTAAAGAGGAAAAAAACAAAGATTTCCTTTAAGAAGAAAATACAATGAAATGCAATGAAATGGTATCATCACATTATATTCTTAATTTGAAAACAAGTCTATACCTCTAAAGCACACACACACAATCCAAAAAGAACAAGACAAAGTTTAATTTCTTTAATTTAATTAAACAAAGCTTCACTTCAGTGGTGTTGCCAAGGTTCATTTCAGTTGTCTAGTATTATAAGTGAAAATTTAAGGAAAGGTGTCAAAATGATCAAAATGAA